GCTGGAGAGGAGGCGGGGGAGGAGGCGCGAGGCGCAGGGACTCACCCCCAGCTGGCGCCGTGGGCGCACCAGCGGGCCGCGCAACGACTGAGAGGGGCTCGCGGCACGGATGCCGAAGCCTGCGCGGCCAGCACCAGCGGGAGGCTGCTGCTGCTGCTGAGCGTTGGAGCAGGTGTCCCACCGATCTCGTGACGAGGCTCCTCTTCAGGACCACGTAATATATATACATATATATATGTATATATACATGCATAGAGAGAGAGAGAGAGAGATCCCCAAATCAGAGCTTGCCTCTGTAGGGGTCCCAGCGGATTCATATGGTTAGGTTAGCTGCGTCGCCGATTTCGGCGGCACGCCCAGGTGCTTGGGTGCCCAGGTGCCCTGGTGCCCGGAAGCTGCGTCGCCGATTTCGGCGGCCCGCCAAGGTGCCAGGGTGCCCGGGTGCCCCATAGCCCTATAGCCCTATAGCCCTATAGCCCCATGGCCCTATAGCCCTATAGCCCCACAGCACTATAGCCCTATAGACATGTGGCCCTATGGCCCTATAACCCTATAGCCCTGTAGCCCTACAGCCCTATAGCCCTAGAGGCCCATAGCCCTACAGCCCTAAAGCCTTGTAGCCCCATAGCCCTACAGCCCTATAGCCCTGTAGCCCTATAACCCTATAGCCATACAGCCCTATCCCCCCATACCCCTTATAGCTGTAAAGCCCTATAGCCCTATAGCAATATAGCCCTATAGCCCTATAGGCCCATAACCCTACAGCCCTATAGCCCTGTAGCCCCATCCCCCTTATAGCCCGATAGCCCTATAGCACTATAGCCCTATAGCCCCACAGCCCTATAGCCCCATAGCCCTATAGCCTTATAGCCCTATAGCCCCATGGCCCTATAGCCCTATAGCCCTATAGCCATATAGCCCTATAGACCTATAGCCCCGTAGCTCTATAGCCCTATAGCCCTATAGCCCGATAGCCATATAGCCCTATAGCCCTATAGACCTATGGCCCTATGGCCCTATAACCCAATAGCCCTGTAACCCCACAGCCCTATAGCCCTAAAGGCCCAGTAGCCACATAGCCCTACAGCCCTATAGCCCTGTAGCCCTATAACCCTATAGCCATACAGCCCTATCCCCCCATACCCCTTATAGCTGTAAAGCCCTATAGCCCTATAGCAATATAGCCCTATAGCCAAAAGCCCTAGCGCTATAGCCATTTAGCCATATAATGCCCTATAGCCCCATAGCCATGTAGCCCCATGCCCCCATTGCCCCATAGCCCTATAGCCCTATATCCCCATAGCCCTATAGCCCTATAGCCCTATAGGCCTAGCCAAACAGCCCCATTGCCCTATAGCTCTAGAGCCCTATAACCCGATAGCTCTACAGCCCCAATCGACCTAGTAGACCTAATAGACCTCATAGACCTTCGAAAGTATTACGTTGGTGTCCTCACCTCCGTCTCTGTCGTCGCCCAAGAGGCGCAACATCAAATCATATCCTGGTAAGACAACAAGACTTTGATTGGGTTCTTCTCTGGTATCATATGGTTGGGTTAGCTGCATCGCCGACTTCGGCGGCGCGCCCGGGTGCCCGGATGCACGGATGCCCAGAAGCTGCGTCGTCAACTTCGGCGGACCGCCCGGGTGCCCCGGTGCCCGGGTGCCCGGGTGCCCGGGTGCCCCATGGCCCTATAGCCCTGTAGCCCTATAGCCCAATAGCCCAAAACCCCTATAGCCCGATAGCCCTATAGCAATATAGCCCTATAGCCCCACAGCCCTATAACCCTATAGCCCAATAGCCCTATAGCCCTATATCCCCATAGCTCTATAGCCCTGTAGCCCTATAGCCCGATAGCCATATAGCCATATGGCCCAATAGCCCGATAGCCCTATAGCCCTATAGCCCTGCAGCCCTATAGCCCAATAGCCCTGTAGCCCTATAGCCCTATAGCCCTATCGCCCAATATCCCTGTAGCCCTATAGCCCTATAGCCCTATTGCCCTGGAGCCCTGGAGCCCTACAGCCCTATAGCCCGATATCCCTATAGCCCTATAGCCATATAACCCTATAGCCCTATACCCCATACAGCTGTATAGCCCTATAGTCATATGGCCCTATAGCCTTATAGCCCTATAGCCCTATAGCCCTATAGCCCTATTGCCCTGGAGCCCTGGAGCCCTACAGCCCTATAGCCCGATATCCCTATAGCCCTATAGCCATATAACCCTATAGCCCTATACCCCATACAGCTGTATAGCCCTATAGTCCATATGGCCCTATAGCCTTATAGCCCTGGAGCCCTGGATACAGCCCTATAGCCCGATATCCCTATAGCCCTATAGCCATATAACCCTATAGCCCTACACCCCATACAGCTGTATAGCCCTATAGCCATATGGCCCTATAGCCTTATAGCCCCATCGCCCTATAGTCCTATAGACCTATAGCCATATCGCCCTATAGCCCTATAACTCTATAGCCCTGTAGCCCTTTAGTCCTATAGCCCGATATTCCTATAGCTCTAGCCGTATAGCCCTACAGCCATATACCGTTCTATAGCCGCATCGCCATATAGCCCCATAACCCCATAGCTCTACAGCTCCATAGCTCTATAGTTCTGTACCCCCAAAGCCCTGTAGTCCTAGCCGTCTAGCCCTATAGCCCTATAGCCTACCTTGGTGTCCTCACCTCCGTCGCCGTCGTCGCCCGAGAGGCGCAACATCAAAGCATGTCCGAGTAAAACAACATGGACTCTGATTGGGGCTGTTCTCTGGTATCACATATATAGAGAGAGAGGGAGAGGGAAAGGGAAACAAAGCAACGAAGGAACAACGAAACAACCTGAGCAAAAAAGGCGGGGCAAGCGCCCGGCCTGCTGCTCCGCCTCTGCCACGCGGCAGCATCGGGAGGGGGGGAGGAGGGGTGGCGGGAGGGTCGGATATCGACGGCCAGGCCCGGGCACCGCCCGTTGGCCATCCCATGCTGGGCCCCACGCGCTCGTGCGCGTGCGGCCTCCCGGCCACGACCGAGAGGGGCCACAACCCGCCCAGGGCTCGGGGTGACTCTGGCCAAGGCGGGTGGCGAGAGCGCATCGCTGCCGCTTCACAGAAGAGGGGGGGGACGGCGCCCAGGAAACGACGAGGGGGGGCGCAAAGGGCGGCCCTCCCCATGGCGCGGGCGCTGTCGTAGGCCATGCCGAGGACGTCGAAGGGGAAGACCGACACCAGGTCCACCAGGAACCATCGTGTGAGGTAGTGCCTCGGCGAACACACGCTTTCGCACTGAAGCGAAAATCAAAAGCCCCGACACCTAAAACCAGTTTATGCCACGGGGCGAAAACCCCAACAGCCCTGAAACGGGCGTCGGCCGAAGGGTGAATCCTGGTTCCGTTCCTCGCCGGCCGAGCGCCTTGCGATGAGCCTCAGGTCCCGCACGTACGTCACGGCGCTCCTGCCAGGCACGGGGTACATCACGAAGAACTGCAACACCATGTCCGCGAGGAAAAGCGCGTCGATGGCCCGATTCAACCAGAACCTGGGGGAACAAAACAATACCGATACCACTACGTTATGGACCTCTTCTCCAGATGCGTTCTGACCAGAGGTTCGAGGAGAATCCAACCGTGGCGACGGGTGATCTCCACGACGAGAACAGAAACCTTGTCACAAGAAATCGTAGGGCACATTCTTCGTCGATCTTTGAACGCCTGAAGGTGAATCGGAGCCTATGCGGGTCCTTGGGGCCATCGGTGTGTTAGAAGTATATGTGGGGCACCTGCTGGAAGGCCGACCCCTTATTCGCCGAGAATACTGGACTCCCCTGAGCTTTCCCCGGGTGCGTCCTGACTTGGGGCCTGGGAATCTTCAGGACAAGCAGCGGCGCGGTGAGGGCCAAAGGGCCCGCGCGCGCAAAGGATTCTTTCTGCGGGCCACGCCCTAGCCGCCCACGCGGGCCGCCGCCGCCGCCGCCCGCTCACCTCTCGCCGCCAGGCCCCTGGCTTGCGCCGGCGCCAGCTTGCCGAACCCGCGCGCGGGCGACAGCCTCCAGGGGCGGCATGATGAGCACGGCGTCTCGGTCTGAGCGGGCGGCGGCTGGCGGGGCCCGCTGGGCCGCTGCCCTGCCCGCGGCAGGCGGCTCCTCGGCCTGCGTCGCTCCGCTGGAGCTGCCCGACCCTCCGGCCGCTGCCGCTCCGATGCCGCCTCGAGCGCGTTGGCCCACAGCGCCCAGCTTCTCGGCCCACAGCATCTTGATGGCCGTCGTGGGGGGGGAGCAGCTTGCCTAACGACTTCTTCGCGCCAGGGGGCCGCCCCTTCTGCAGGTCCGCTCTTGCCTGGGCCCGCGAACCCTGCCGAGGCCTGGCGGCAGCCCCGATGCAGGCGTCGCGGGGCCCCTTCCACACCACTTCGGGCGTCCTGGCGTACAAGTAGCAAGCCGAGCTGACCATGAACGGCGCCCCGGCGCCGCAGAGAACCTGGCCCTGCATGATCTGGCGCCAGTTGACCGGGGAGGCCGTGCTCGCCCAAAAACGGCGCTGACCACTGAAGAGCCGCCGCCTTCTCATCGCCCTGGGCAATCGCCCCGCGCGCAATAGCCGCGCCCAAATCAAATCTCCGCGGCGCCTGCAGCACCCAGACTTGCGCCGGGGCACCTAGCTTCTCGAAGGCGAGGCGGACGGGCACATGCGGGCGCGCGGCGGTGGGCCTCAGAGCGGCCACAGTGGGCCCGGGGGCCGCCAGCGACGTCGAGACCACGAAACAATCTATTTCTTGCCCAAGTACGCGGGCTGCCGAGTGCCCAACGCAGCTCCTCCGATCGCCCGCGACCACCGCGAACCTGCAAGCTCCTGCGGATGCATGCTCCAATCTCCTCCCACGATGAACGGCCCCCTCAGCTCATTTAGGAGCACCTGGGGGGGGGCCGCCAAGCCGCTCCACCAGGTTCGGCCCCGAGAGCCTCGCCGAGTGCACGAGGTAGACGCTGGCCGCCGCGACGACCGGGCCCCCGAACCCTGCGCGCCAGGGCCCTGGAAGAGAGGTCGCCCCGGCGCTGGCCCAGCTGCGCCGCCCCGCGGAAGCTGGCGGCCAGGATGCCCGCGCCCGAGGAGACCTCCTGCGACTTCAGCCCCGCGCGCCTGCAAGGGCTCAGGGCCGCCTGAAGCCCATTGCGTCTGCGCCAGCCATGCGCCGCAGAGAATGCCGCCTCCGACATGAACCTGGTCCCCAGCACGAGAAAAAGGTCACCCTGGGCCCCCCCGTCGCGCAGGTGCTCGATGGCCGTCCGCGCCCGGGCCCTGGAGGAACCGCTGATGGACGCGATGCTCGCCGCCTTCAGCTCGCGAGGGACTACCAGCGCCAGCACCTGAGTTCCAGACGACGGGCCATCCCCACATGGGCTAAAGGTGCCGCTGAGCTCCTCCGACCACGCCCACGGCGTTGCCTGGCACTGTCGCCAGCGCGCCCACATCGGCAGCCGCCTCCATCACCAGGCTGCGCTCGCGGCCAAGGGCCCGCCGCTGACGGCCGCCGTTCCGCCTGCCCGCGCTCGGCGGCTGGCTGCGTGGGCGGCTCCAGTGCGATGTCCGCGTCGGAGTCGACGGCCCCGCCGCCCTCCAGGCAGTAGTCGCCCCACTTATTCCGAGGCCGCGCCGTGGCTTCTGACTCCTTCAGGGCGAGCATCTCCTCAACCGCTCGCAGCTGCTGCATGGTGAGCCCCCCTTGCGAAGTTGCCTGCCGAATGCGCTGCCAGGGGCGTGCGCAATTGCAGGAAGAGCCCGCGCATAGCCTCCAAGTCGCCGTCCGAGACCCGCGGCCGCTCCTGACTCGCCTTGGCCTTCGCTGCCTCCTTCTCCAGCACAGTAAGGCGTTCCTGCGCCTCTCGCTGGCGCAGCTCGGCATCCTCCAGCCTGTCATGCGCCGCCTGCAGGGCCGCCTCCTCGGACTCCTCTGAGGTGGCCGCTGCCGAGGCCTTCCTCGCCCCCGCCGCCTTGCGCTCAGTTTTGCCGACCGTGTTAGCAGACTTGCGAAGTCTAGCGGCTGGCCCGCCTCCTTGTTCGCGGCCAGCGCTGCTGCCGCCTCCTCCTTCTCGCAGGGCGGCCAGCCGCTCAGCCACGAACTCGTCGCCGCCGCCGCCCAAGCTGGGGAAGGCCTCCAGGTGCTCGATGGCCCGCTGGAGCTCCTCCCCTCGGGACGGCCGCGCAACGGCAGGCGAGGCTTTGCGGCCGTCTCCTCCTCCTGATGTGGCAGGGCTGGTCCGGGCTGGCGGCCGCGGCTGCGGCAGCCCCTGCGTTGCCGTGGCCTCGCTTGCCCTTGCCAGCCTGGACGAGCCTGTCGGCGTCAGGCTCGGGCGGCTGACTGGCCATGCGCCTGACCGCCCACGGGGGGGACCTGGCCTCACAGCCGAGGCGCCATCGGGCGAACGCAGTAGCGCCACTGCCCACACGAGCACCACCAGAAGGAGCCGTCTCCCTTCTCGTTGCGTGCGCCAGCGCCAGCAGCAGCAGTACCACCAGCAGGGGCCACCATCCCGCCGCTGCCGCGCGCCCGCCAGCTCTCAAACTCCACCGAAAATCGTTTTGGCCCCCGGCGCAGAGCCCCTTGCGCTTGAAACGCCGCGGACGGCTCGCGGTCGTCGGGCGCTCCATGGCCTTGAGCCAAAACGGCAACGGAAGGTGAGGAAATTTGACAGGGAACCAATGGATAAGGAATCCAGGGTCTCGAAGCCAGTGGAACTTCGATCGTGGATTGGTCATGGATATCCCCGCCGTCCTTATAAGATAAGGAAGCCCCCAGGGTCTGAAGCCTCCTGGGCACATTCCTTAACCAACGCCCCCACCGTATTGGTGTCTCTCCCTCCCCTGGGAACCGCGCCAGCGCATTGCCGTCCAGAGAGGCCAAGTCGCCCCGGCCTGCCAAGAAGGCCACCTGAGCGACAACGAGGAAACAAACAAAGGCCTCACGAGCGAGGGCGCGCGGGCCTCAGGCGAGGTGGCTTGCACGCAGGCCCCCCCGCGCGGCACACAGCGTGGACAAAGAGGGCGCCTGCGCACGCGCGACCCTGCGCGGGCAGCATCTGCGCGCAGGTCCGCGCCGTCATCGGCTGCGCGCAAGGGGTGGCCCGAGGCAAGAGTGGCCTTTGGTGCGCGGCTTGCCGACCGCTGCGCCAGGTGCGGCAGCAGCGGCTTGAATGCCCGGGCTTGGCCCCCCCCCGGGCGCCACTCGAAAGCCGAGCACCAGAGGTCACTCTGGCGAAGGGTCACTCTCACGTATGGCCGAAAGCAAGGCAGCTATTTCTCACATCGCTCACCTCAAAAGGCGTGAGGACGGCCACCATGACCAGGGCCGCGAACATCACGAAATCCCATGCGCGAAGGGCGCGGCTCTCCTGCAGGGCTGGGAACTGCAAGTGCAGGCGTGAACTCTGGATGCCCGCGGACGGCTGCCCCGCTGACACTGGGCACCCCTGCCTACCAGGCGCGGAGCCGCTGGACGGGGGTGGCGCAGGGCGGACTTCCAAAATTCGTGCTCGTGTGATTTGACAGCTCCTGGGCCCAAGAAGGAGGAGGAGGAGGAAAAGGAGGAGGAGGAAGAGGAGGATGGGAAGGAGGAAGGAGGAGGAGGAGGAGGAGGAGGAGGAGGAGGAGGAAAGGGAGGAGGAGGAGGAGGAAGAGGAGGAGGAGGAGGCGGAGGAGGAGAGGAGAAGGAGGAGGAGGAGGAGGAGGAGGAGGAGGAGGAGGAGGAGCCACGCGCCCGTAAACGAGGACTGGCCAGTGGGCAGAGTGGATCTGTATAGCTTTCGTCGCCCGACCCGTCTCCTCTGGGCTGATGGCCCTGCATCGCAGCGCACACGCTCTTGGCGCACGCCGGCCCGACGGGGGGCAGTTGGCCGCCATATCCTGCGGAGGCTGAGCCAGGCTGGCGGGGCAGCGGCGAATGTCCCCCGCGGGAGCGGGGAAGCGGCGAGCGACAGAATGGTTTTTCCCTCCTCTCGTCCTGGTCCTCCTCCTCTTCCTCCTCCTCCTCCTCCTCCTCCTCTTTTTCCTCCTTCTCCTCCTCCTCCCTCTTCTCCCCCTTCTCCCCCTCCTCCTCCTTCCTCCCCTGTTCGATCATCGATTTCCCTCCTCCTCCTCCTCCTCCTCCTCCTCCTCCTCCTTCTCCTCTTCCTTCTTCGGCGGAGGAGCCCAGGCGAGGCCAGGAGACAGGCCATTCCTGCCACAGCGCGGTCTCCACAGCGTCTCGCTTCACTGCGCGCCACCCGAATGCGCCTTCTTTTTTACATCCTGCCACGCCTCCCTCACTCAGCATCATATCAATCACGGTCAGCATCCCTTCCAGCATATTAACTGCAACAATTGCAAAGCTGGCACCATTGGCGGCCCAAAGTCGAAACCGCACTACGGCTGTCATGAACCACCACTCCTCGGTGAGCAATAGCTGAAGGAGAGAGCGGATGTGACTCATGACTCTGACTGGCATCGGCGAATGACATGTTCCATTTCGCTCGCATAAGTGACGCTCGGTTCGCATAATCCGCCACAAGAAGGCTCGATGTAAGCCCTCACAACAGGCGCAGGCATGCTCCAAGAGGACACCCCAAGAGAGCCTCTAGACCTGGACACCCCAAGAGAGACTGAAGGAGCCACAACAGCCCTGGCACCAGTCAGCAATTCAGACATCGTCACGGAGGTTTTACACAACACCTACGAACTTCACGACAAGCCGCCCAGAAACTCTGCAGCACACACGGAAATCCTCTCTCTCTCTCACACCTCCCCGACAACTTCTACCCGCCCCTGGGGGTCGGCGGAATGGCGCAGGCCTCTAGGAGAAGTCATCCGACAGCCCCCTCCCTCATCACGCCTCCTCGCGTGCACTCCCCACACCTGCACGGTTCCCCCCAGGGCCGTAGGCGACCTGAGGAGGAGTCTCTGGAGTCTCTGCCTGATCGCGTAGCGATATGGGATATCAAATGTCCGCCACCCTCGTTGGGGTGTTCTTGGCTCTGGCGTCGCGCTCGGCTCGGCTGAGGGCCTTTGGCCAGAGCCCCTTAGCTATTCTCCGCATGTATTATAACCCTGTCGGGGCGGGTTTGCCGCAACGGTCCCCGAGTTGCCCGAGGAGCTGGTTCGCGTGCGACCCGCAGACAAAACAGAACCACACATTCAGCCCAGTGTGAGTCTGGTCGACATATCCCCCCGCAACGTGAACCTGCTCTCCAAGAGGAGCCATCATATAGGTGCCATCGACATTACATAACTCGAAACACTCAGTATGTAGCCACTGGGCTCTCGAGGCCTGGGTGGTCGAGGTCCTACAACGGGTGCACCTGGAGCCACTGGGGTCTAAAACGTGCTGGGAACTGAACAGGGCGCAAACACTGGGGGCTGGCGGCTGGGGAGCTGCCCCCTTTCGGCCTCTTTGGGCGTGGGTTCCCATTCCACTGACTGGCCCATCTATCATGTTCGAGTGCCTCCAACGGAGTGCGCAGCAAGCGCATACGTACAAGAAAAGCTTGTTGCTCAACCAGCGCTAGCCGCTGGCGGTCTGGCGCTGGCACTCGCGCGGCCTGTGCTGCCGCGCCTGCCAGCTCGTCGGCCACGGTGTTGCCGCAGGCGAGGGTGGCCGAGATCTTGTTCATACAGATGTCCTGCTCGTCCATGCGCGACGGGGTCCACAATGCTGTGATCGGACCCTGTCGTTGATTGATGCTCAGTCGGAGACGAACCCACAAATCGGCATCGCTCCCCGTTGGGATGTCGAGGTGACCGCTATGGTAATTGTTGTCGCATCCTTCGCTATCGGTGGAGAAAGACAAGTGCCATGAGTTCGTCACGCAGGACCGTTTGGCGTGCACCCGCCAGGGGTCCCTACGTCACACCTCGCAACGGCATGTCGTTCTTATTGGGGCCGGAGAACAAGGCGACTGCAACGACGATGCGACGCAGTGGCGTGACATTGGTGTCGGGTCCACCAATTGCGTCTCCGAAGGCGCACGTGGGGCAGCTGGTGCTGTGGTCCATGCATCCGACGCGCTGATGCTCACATCCGTAGTGATCCCATTGATATCGTTGTGGCGGTGGCGGTAGTTGTGTCCGCTCCGCTGGTAGTAGCCCCGTGTCCAGAAACACTCGTACATGTCACGCTGGGTGGCTGCTTCTGGGCACAGGTGGCTGGTTTCCGTGATGATGGGGCTGCTGCTGTTGCTGTCGCGCTCCCTGCCGCGGTGGTAGTCGTCCTCGTCGCGAAGTCCGCGCCGCAAGCACTTGGTGGAGGTGGTTGTGGTGTTTGCCTTGGCAACTCGCGTCCCTGGCCCACACAGCACCAACCGCGATGCTGAGCATGAGACTGGTGAGGCGGGCACCGCCCGCGAAACCCCCCAAGTATCGCAGCCGCCGTCGGTATGAGAAGTTGCCAACTCCATGCTGCATTCCCTCGCCGCCGTGGTGTGCACTGGCGCCATTGCTGGTGCTGTATGCTGGCGTCGAGGTCGTGGAGGAGCTGGCGTGGGATGTCTGCGTCTGGGAAGCCTGTGAGCTGCGCGGCGTCGAACTCCCATGTGTCTCCTTTGTCGGAGAGCGCTGGTGGTAGCCGCCACATGTTTGGCTCGATGGGATCCCATTCGTGCTGCATGGGGTAGCTGATGAACGTGGAACGTGGGCCGCGTATGTGTCGTACTCGCACGCGTGGGGGCAGATTCCTGAAATTGGTGGCTACGCCCTTCCAAGTGGCCTGGATGGCGCGCTGGAGTGGTCCTCCCTGGATCCACGTGGTCAGCCATGCTCGAAGTGCTTATTATGGTCATTTCCGCAGTGGGTCGTGAGCCCGTAGGTCGGGTAGTGTCGTGAGGCGCCGTTCTCGTAGACGTGGGCCGACTGCGTCGCCGACCCGTCTGCGGTTGATGGTCATGGTTGTGCCGAAAGCTCCGTAAACGTGGTGGCCTTATGTGACGGTGGGTTTGCCACCTTGCATGGCCAGCTTGGGGGAGATGCGAGATCGCCGCGTGGCTCGGGCGAAGCGTAGGATCTTCTGGCGCATGCGGTCGTGCTTGCGGCGCCGTTGAACGGCGATGCGTCTGGTATGCCGCACTCCGCATCCGAGGCCGATTCCAAGGTAACTGGCCTGCGTGCCTGCCTGGATGGGGAAACATGTCCTCTTCGTGGCCGCGGCGATGTCCTTGGCGCCCTGGTGGCGGGTGCAGACAATGACGCTCTTCTTGGCGAAGTCGGGGCCTTGGTCCTGGAGCGCGATGCAGGTGTCGGCGAGGCATGGTACCATACGCAGGCGCAGTGCTCGTCGGCTTGCCTGCATGCGCTGCGACAGGTCGTCGACCCAGATGCGGCGTCGTAAGCCAGGGCAGTGGTTAGTGACGTGCTGGGGTGCCTTATTCGTCATGATCTTGGCGAAACGCGTGCCTGACCTCAGCCCCTGCGCCACTGACCGCGTGGGTTGCAGTGCTTCCGCGTAGGCACCGCTCTGCGTGAGGGCGCGAGGTGCGGTGCACTGAAGTACTTCAAGCCCGAGTACCTCGGGTGGGAAATGGAAGTCGAGCGCCTCGTCGGTGAGGGTGGCCCTGTGGCGGAAGTCGTAGAACTGCGCGATGTCCAACAGGCCGTGCGCCTGTGGGACGTGCAGGTCTGTGGCGAGCTCCCCGTGTAGGCACCGCTCGTATGCCTCGCGAAAGGCAGGGCTGCCTTTGGCGATGGCGCCCCAGTGGGCGAAGTACTCGCGGTTCCAACTCTTGACGTGCTCCTCGCGCGCCATGGACCAGATCCTGACGACCATGGTCGCGAGGCCGAGGATGCGGTCTACGCTGGCCTTCTTGGCCCGCATGGCCCCGATGGTGTGCAGGAGTGGGCGGGGCCAAGCTTGAACGCGTTCGGCTATGGTGAGGATGTCGGCGTGTTCCTGTAGCGCAACTGTTGGCAATCGTCGTCAGCCGCTCGGTCGTAGTCGGTCTGCTCCGAGGGCCGCGTTGGCCTTGAGGCGAGATGCCGCTCGTCGGAGGTCCGCTGCGGTGGGAGCTGGGAGTGGGCATTCGCTGATGCGGTCAACGATTCGCTGGTAGGCGCGGGCGAGGTCGGTGTAGTCGACAGTATGGGGATCCCACAGGTTGGTCCAGCACTGGATCTTGTGGTCGATGACGCCCTCGGGGTGCATGACGGTGCGTCCGCTGTGCTGCGTGACCTCTGCTGGCTGTGGTTGAGGTTGTGGGGGTCTGTGCAGCGTTCCCAGCGCCTCAGGCGCGGTTGCCCATTTGCTGAGGGCCCGCGCAAATTTGCGAACAGCTCGCTGCTGGGCCCTCTTGGCTAACCCATTGGCTCTCGCCGCGTAGGCAACGATGCTGTTCACGTCCACCTCCTCTGTCTGCTGCAGGAACGTGATCCACTGGTCTCAGGTGCGATCGTCCTTGGGGCCGAGGATGCTGGCGGCTGCAGCGGGAGGCGTTGCCGCGAGACGTTGGGTGTCGCGTGTCCACAGTCTGAGCTGAAGCGGTCCGTTGTTCCTGGCTCGATGTCCGTAAACGTTCTGGAGTCATGTATGTACCCGTGTCCACCAATTGCTGGAGAAATCAGCTAGCGGGGGGCTCCGTTTGCACTGGAGCTCGCGGACGACGGTCGTCTGGTAGGCTGGGCCGGTAGCGCGACTGGCCCAGCAAATGGCATCTGGTGGTGCGTGTGCATAGTGGCCTCCACGGTTGGAGCCCACGAAACGCAAAGCTGCCCAAGCTGAAGGGTCAACTCAGGCGTGAGCCGAAAGGCTACTGAGGCAGCGGCCGCGGGGGCAGGCAGGGTGCACTTGGCTGGAAGAGCGCTGATTTGTTCCCTGTGGCCACTCCATGGCAGGCTAGGGATTTCAAAGTGCACGCTGTGAGCGCCATCGCCCCCAGGCTCCAAAAAACTACAATT